CACAATCAAATGCTTCTGCATAGTCGATAAAACATAAGTAAACATCTTTCTGGTATTCTTTGCTTTCAGCTAAGATCCATCTGACATCAACAATGATATCCCTCATTCCACATTCTATTCTGAATCCAGCTTGCATTTCTGGAAGCTCTCTGTCAATATACTGCTACAACCATTTTTGAATTATCTTCAGTAAGATTTGACTTGTGTGCGATATTAATGATATTGTTCGATAATTTCCACATTCCGTGGGATCACATTTCTTTGGAATGGGTACAAATACAGATCTCTTCCAGTCAGTTGGCCAGGTAGCTGTCTTCCAAATCTCTTGGCATAATTGAGTAAGTGCCTCCAGCAGGGCATCCATTTGTTGAAACATCTCAATGGTATTCCACCAATTCCTGAAGCCTTGTTCTTCACCAATTCCTTCAGTGCAGCTTTGACGTCTTTCTCCAATACCCTGGGTTTTTCATCATATGCCACCTCCTAAAATGGATGAAGATCAACCAGTTCTTTTTGTTACAGTGACTCTGTGTGTTCCTTCCATCTTCTTTTGATGCTTCCTGCATCATTTAATATTTTGCCCATAGAATCTTTTAATATTGCAACTTGAGGCTTACATTTTTTCCTCCGTTTTTTTCAGCTTGAGAAATGCTGAGCATGTTCTTCCCTTTTGGTTTTCTAACTCCATGTCTTTGCACATTTCATTATAGTAATTGGCTTTGTCTGCTCAAGCTGGTCTTTGAAATATTCTGTTCAGCTCTTTTATCTTGTCATTTCTTCCATTTGCTTTAGCTACTCTCTGCTTAAGGGGAAGTTTCAGAGTCTCTTCTGACATGCACTTTGGTCTTTTCTTCATTTCTTGTCTTTTTAATGACCTCTTGCTTTCTTCATAGATGTTCTTCTTTATGTCATCCCACAATTCCTCTGATTTTTGGTCACTGGTGTTCAATGCATCAAATCTACTCTTTTAATGGTCTCTAAATTCAGGAGGGATATTATCAATGTCATATATTCTGCCCACACCATCCTTCAATATTGCAATCCATGGCTTGAATTTTTTATTCAGTTCTTTTTGTTCAAGAAATGCTGAGCATGTTCTCCCCTTTTGGCTTTCTAATTCCAGGTCTTTTCACATTTCATTATGAAAGAATACCACTTGTCTGTCAGTTCATCATACTGTGGTAGCTTGCATGCTGCTGTGATGCTGGAAACTATGCCACTGGTACTTCAAATATTACCAGGGACATCGAGGTTGGACAAGTTCCAGTGGAACTTTCAGACTAAGAATGACTAGGAAGGATGTGGTCATCCCCTTCTGAAAAAAAAATTGGCCCTGAACACCTTATGAACAGGTCTACTTAAATACACGTAAATAAACCAGCACAATTCTTATCTTTGACAATGTGTCAAAAGATTAGGAGGCCAATGTAGAATCAAGCCTACTCAGCTCCAGGTCTCTAAGACCATGTAGCTCCAGGGAAACTTTGAAGGACCTTTCCCAACCAGGTGAAGACCTTTTAAGAAAAAGAAAACAGAAAAATGCTGTTTTACTATAGATAACAGAAATTGGTAGAACCCTATCATGAAAGAATGTAAACAAGTTCTTTCTAGTGTTGAGAAATTGTAAGAATTCAAAACAGAAATCACAATGAAGCACAGCTGCAATGGTAAATGTGTGAATGAAAATAGACTTTGTAAACAAACATTATTTCACTGTAATTATGTTTTGTGGTATACCAAACCAAACCAAACTCACTGCCCTGGAGTGGATCCCAACTCATAGCAACCCCTCCTTGGGTTTCCGAGGCAGTATCACTATGGAGGTAGATTGCTCAATCTTCTTTCCGAAGAGTGGCTGGTGGGTTTGAACCACTAGCCTTCTGGTTAGTAGTCAAATGCCTTAGGCATTATGCCACCAGAGCTCCTGTTTTGTGGTATACAGGCTTAAAATAATTTCCAAGATCTTAAAGTAACTTATTTTTTAATAAATTGAATAACTATGCATATAATTTAAGCTTATATGCTTTTTTTTTTCTTTTTAATGTCACAGAGGAAGGATATATACATTTGGGTCTGCTAATGAGTATGTTCCTTTTTGCCACTTAAAGAGTAGTACTATAAGAGATAAGCAACAAAGTTTAAAAAATTTATTTAAAAGACAGTTCATTTGATATGGTAAAAGATTTTATGTGTCTGGCTAAAAGTTTGATGGCTTAATTTAAGATAATTTTTAAAAGTTTTAATGTCAAATAGCAAAGAATTAGCTTTTTCACTGTTAAGATAACATTTTCCTTGATTACTGGGTGGAAGAGTTAATGCATTCTCCATGTAATCTGCTTTAAGGCAGATTGTATCTTTGTTGTTGAGTTCTAATAGGAATAACATTAACTAAGCAATAATGCAATTGGGCAAAAATAGCAAAAGCTATTTGTGACTCACAACAAGTTTGAGCAACAATGACTCTGGTTAAGAGCAAGGATTGTGGAGTCACAATACCTAACTTCATATCCCTGCTCTGCCTCTAAAATCCTGTGCTTGACATTTTGAGTAAGATACTTATAACCTCTCTGACAAGTTTAAAATGATGCTACTTCACAGATTTGCGGGGTAAATGGGATGTCGCAATGTAGCATTTACCCAATGGGTGGCACAGCTTAAGGACTGTAGCTACCTGTTACACAGCCTACCGCTTTCTAGACTCATCAGCTAAGTACCCTGCCCCAGTCCCAGAGCCGACCAACCGCCACAGCACAATTTTGTGCGCATGTTCCTTTCTGCAAGACGTGGCCCGGGCGATCCCGCTTACCGCTGAGGCGTCGCGACCGCGCGGCCCGACTTCCGTTTCCGGGGGTGGCAAAGCGGCTTCCGGCGGCGTGACCTGAGCGTGCTGAGCCGGCGTGGCGCGGAGCTGGAGTGGTCTGCGCTGCTGCGGGTAACGGAGGGGTGGGTAGGAGTGGCCAGGTGTGGCAGCTTATGCCTTCGGCCTCTTGGGGCGGTAGGTGCGGACTCAGGTGGCCTCAGAGGGTCAGCCTTAGTCTTGCGGCCCGGCTTCGAGCCATGGCGCTTTTATGAAGGCTGGACGCGGCTCCGGACCTCACCTCGTCCCAGACAGAGCCCTTCTTGCTGCTCTTTGGCCATCACCCACTCCTCGAAATTCCTGTGATCGCCGGCCCTGCGGGTGGGAGTCGGGGGATTGGTTCTATTCCGTTCTTGGCTGATTGGCTCTGTGACATTGTGCAGGACACGTCCTTTTACGGGACCTCAGCTGCGTTATTTTGAAGGTGGAAATCTTATTCACAGTGATTGTGAATTCCTTAAGAGGGCAGGAATTGAGTTTTATTTGTGTTAAACATTGTTACTTGTCCTTAATACAAAACGGTACTCTTTTGCCTACCTAAGTTGTTCTGAGCCACAAACCCCTTTTGAAAAAGCTCTCAACCTTACCCATCTCCCATGTTCAGATAATTTTAATTTAATTTTAATTTGGCTTCCAGTTTCAGGGGAGGTCTGGTGGCGTAGTGATTGTTCGAGCCCACGAGTATTTCACAGGCCTCTCCATATACCGCATCGTTCTAACGGACCATGTTGTTATTTGCCGTCGTTTTGTATTAAGGACAAGTAACAATGTCGACCCACTCAAAGCTACCCTTCCTTGGGTTTCCCAGGTGGTATGGTATCACTCCAACCATCCTTCCAAGGAGTGGCTGGTGGGTTTGAACCGTCAGCCTTCTGGTTAGCAGTCAAGTGCCTTAGGCACTACACTACCAGAGAGCCTGACATATTGACAGTTAAATATTTGTGGTTACTGAGTAGTAAGTTGTTTTTGTTTTTAAATGTTTGTTGTTGTTGTTTGCCGTCGAGTCGGCCTGACTCATAGCGACCCCTCGGGTTTCCAAGGCAGTATCACTACGGAAGTAGGATTGCCCAACCTTCCTTCCGAGGAGTGGCTGGTGGGTTTGAACCGCCAGTCTTCTGGTGAGCAGTCAAGTGGTTTAGGCACTATGCTACCAGAGCTCCTTTTAAATGTTTAGTAGGTATTTTTAAATGCATGAATCCCTGTCTGCTTCACACGAAGGAGGAAGATACCCTGTTAGCAAATTTTAACTTGTCAGTGTGCTAATCTCATTTAAGTCTCCCAACAGCACCGTGAGGGAGGTATTATTTAATTCCCATTTTACAAATAAGGAAGCTGAGGTTTAGAAAAATTAATCTGTGTTCAGTTACTCAACCACATGGTAGCTGATAGTATTATTGAGAGCCCTCAACAGAGGGATCTAATTGTGCCTGCTTTCTAAATCCAACCGGCTTTGATACCAAAAACCAAACTGCTGTCTAGTCAATCCTGACTCATAGCAACCCCTCCTTGGGTTTCCAAGGCGGTATCACTACAGAAGTAGATTGTCCAACCTTCCTTCCAAGGAGTGCCTGGTGGGTTTGAACTGCCAGCCTTGTGGCTAGCAGTCAAATGCCTTAGGCACTATGCCACCAGAGCTCCCTCACTGAATAGTAGGGGAAACAATTCAAACCCATGCCTCTCTGAAATTCCAAAGCCTCCTGTTTTTAACCAGAAGAGGACTAGATGCAGAAATGTGTTGGAATGTGTTATAACAGCCTCTGTATTTGGATTGACTGTTGTAGTATGAGTTTCTCAATTATCAACATAGAAGACCCCGTATCAAACGCTGCGTGCTGTGGAAATACTTTTATCTGTCTCTTTCTTCCATAGTACCTGTATTGCTTGTTTAATAATAACATAATGTTTTACAACCTGCTTTCTGTGCCCATATTCATTCAATCCTTGTATCTTTGGTGTATGCTTAATCAGGTGTGTTGACTGAATATGGCTATATATTAGTTATTTTGCCTTGTTCTTCCTGCCTGCCAAAGCAGGTGTACTGTACTTAACAAGAGTATAATATATGCGGTGATAATGTTTAAGCTTTTATTTTTCTGTACTGCTTTTAAGGGGAGTGTATTAGGGATCTTGGAAGTACTCCAGCATGTCTGACATTCAAGAAGCCACTAACCAACTCTTGGATGTTAACCTGGTTGAGAAACAAAGGTTTGTGCAAGTGACAGGAAGTGGCCACAGAAGAGAATCTGAGCATCTCAAAGTCACTGTTGGAGCCACCGTACCTACTGGCTTTGAGCAAACAGCTGCGGATGAAGTTATAGAGAAACTAGGGTCATCATGCAAAATCAGCAAAGACCGTGGCAAGATATATTTTGACATTTCAGTGGAAAGTCTGGCTCAGGTTTGCATGTAATAGGATTTAAATAGTTTTCTAAATTGTTTAACTTGTGATTACTTTCTAGTTACAGATCCCTTTCAAATACCTTTTGCTTTTCTTTGTTCTGTGCCCAAATCAGGTGATTTTAAAATATTACTTCATTTTCTATTAGGTACTGATTTTTTAAGTTTGACTAGTAGGATTACTCTACTTTTAGAAGTTATTCCAGTATTTCCAGAGGAAGAATTCACCAGAAAGAATCTTATGTGACTTAGGAAGAAATTCCACATATCTGCTACACATCTTTGAATTTGTTTACTTTAGCATCTAGCTCTAGAGTTTGTTGATGAAGCAGAGAATGAGAGTTTGTTGTTGTTGTTGTCTTTGTCAAAGAAATTATTGCACCAAAGTAATTAGGTGAGAGGTGAAGGTCAGCAAACTACCGTCCCACTATAATAAAAAACTGAGATACATTTCATTACCATGTAAGTTATATGATGTTAGGGATTGTTGATTGTTTTTGTTTTTAACTGTCATAGCCCCAGCTGTTAGTGTCTAGCACATAGTAGGCATCAAGTTAATATATGGAATGAATTGGTAAGCACCTGTTTTCCTTTTTGAATTTTTATTGTGATTTGAGTGAAAGTTTGCAGAGCAATTTCATTTTCCATACATTAGTTCATACACATTTTGTTCTAAGACATTGACTGCAATTCTCCAATGTAACAGCTCTCTTCCCACTTCCTCCCTGTAGGTAGTTCTTACCTGTGTCTTCCCTCCTATGCACCCCTACCCTGCCCCCTCCCGAGCTATCTCCAAACATGTCTGTCCAAACATGAACAGGTATTTTCCATCTAGCATTTTAGTTAATATCCTCAGCAGCTTTGTAGGCACTAGCATTATTAATATTATCAATCATCATTAGACTTAGGAAGAATAAGTAATCTGCCCAGGGTCACTAAGATAGTAATCACAGAGCTGGGACTCAACCCCATGCTCTTAACTGTAACATATGCAGTGTACCACAGAGAGCTATGAGGGAAACACAAAAGTCCCACTTGATTATCTTTGATTACCTTCTCCCCTAAAACCCTGTTGCCCACATAATACTGCAAGCCTCTATCTGTCCTCTTTCTGTTGGGGAATTGCAGAAGCAGATGGATGATGAAGCAGATGGGTGGCCAGACATGGGAGACTGGCAGTTTTTGTTTTGTTTTTTTTTTTAACTTTAAATAGAAATTATAGGTATTAGCTGCCTTAAAACCATTGCAACTGATTTGTGGTTTAAATATTGATGGTTTGTGTTAGTCAGAAGTTTTCTCAGAAATTTTTCTTTTTTTTTTTCTCTCCCAGGTTCATTGTTTGCGATCAGTTGATAACTTATTTGTGGTTGTTAAGGAGTTTAAAGATTATCAGTTCAAAGAAACAAAGGTGAGCTATCCCAAACACAGTAGGTGATTGTTAGTCACTTTCCTCAAAGAGATTATTTCCAGTTTTTAAATTCTGTCATCAGCATTACTTTTGCTTTTTTTTTTTTTTTTTT